CTAATGAAAAAAACATGAGGAAAAAGATCTCTCTTTTTTTTTTTTTTAAAGCTCATTGCCATAGAAGAAATATATATATATATATATATATATAGTGTATAGTTAGAGGTTTCAAAGAGCTGTAACTCGTCCATTAATCTCTAAAGCTAAATAGAGAAAAAGAGAAAAGAAACTCCTGTTGCACAGAAAATACTAGTGTCATTAAGTTTTTTTGTATGGCTCCCAAAAGGGAAAATAAAAATAAATAAACAAATAAACAGTCGTTAAGTTTAAATGAGACATCTCGGAAAGAACGATAAAATCTTCATATTCATATTTCCCATTTAGAAAAAATTTAATTTTTATGAATTATTGGATAACTAGTGGGTTAATGATATACAAGTTCTTTTCAAATATTAATAACGTTATTTCGAGATAATTTTTCCATGTTTTTACCTCCTATTGAATGTCGACTCGTATATACATATATATATTCATTCTATTAGCGTCAAATGTTTATTATTTTACTACTATTGATCACGACATTCAATTTTCATGCAACGTTCATGCAACCATCATCCATCAATCGGCTCCAAACATTATTTGAGTTTAGTTTTGATGTATGACTAACCGTCGCATGCAAAAATTGCTTAAAAATTGAATGCAAACATCAGTTACTTTCTAATAAATTTAAATAATAATAATAACAATAATAGTTTCTGTAAAGATTAGTTTACGATTCTAAGGTATTTTGTACGCTTTGCATATTCTTGCATGGAAAAATATTAAAAGTAGTCAAAAATCTCCTTCTCTCATGGTATAAATCTTGTAATGTCTTAAATATTTAATGACGGAATTTAGTTTACTTGGTATGATTTATGTGAAGAGAGACCGAGTTCATAGAACACGTTCTACCAGGTCACTATTCGTTGAATTTTCGATAAACTTATGCTTTACAGCAAGAAAATTTAATTTAAATAAAATATATTCCAACTAATAACTTAGTTGGGTTTAACTCTATATATTTTTGCGTTAACGACACGAAGAAAAAGGAGAGCAAGAAGAGAGAGAGAGAAAAAAAAAGAAAGGAACAAGATTGTAGAAACTCCAGAAATGCAATTATCGGTCTTTCTCTTAAGAATCGATTTTTGTAAGAAATTCCATTTATTTAATTAAATAAAAATCTTATTTATCAAAAGAAAAATAAAAAATTTTAACGATAAATTTTAAATTTCCTAAAATATTTTAAACACTTCCTACTCTCTGTAAATTAGAACCTTTAAGCTGTTGCGAATTTCTTCAATGAAAGATGGATGTATTTTGAATTGACAGGAATTTCTAATGCCATTTTTCTTTTTTTTTTTTAATACTTTTTCCTTTCGCATCGCTTTGATAATATTAGATTTTATTCTTTTTCCCTCCCTTCTAGTTTTCTAAGAAGTTGTTTATATCTCTTGTTTACCTTTCTCATAATATGTTGAAGTAGACAGTCGAGTATCACTCTTATAAAAGTAAAAGATTATATAGAACAAGAATAAAAATAAAAGCGAGTAATGAAAATTATTAAAATGAAACATAAAAAGATATTTTTGGAAGTCCTATTTAAAAATTTAGAAGATTTTCAAAATGGAGTTTGTATCAAACTCCCACATCTCAACGCCTTAAAAATAGAATCAATTTTTACCCAAGAGCTTTGAAAAAAAAAAAAAAATTCAATTTTTTAGTGAGATACCGTAACATTATTCATAAAAATACATTGACCAAACTATCATCATACTTTGAAACTTTAAAAATTCAACATTCCAAAATTTCTAAAATTGGCCACGACAGAAGTTTCGAAAACGTGGAAATAAATTTAATCATTCGGTACAAAATTTTGTATCTATATATACATTAAAATTTATAACAAAGAAAAACTCGATATAAACTTACGATTGCGGGATTTATTATTATTATTATTTTTGTTTCTATAAATTTTAACCTGGAATCGTAACTTTCTAGCTTCTAAAATCGTTATAATACTTCGATTATTATTAAAATTCCTACGAGAAAATCAATTAATACAACTTTAAGATATTCTTCTTGCCTTTTTCTAGTTGTAAAAATAAAATACAGGTTGAGTCAAAAGTTAATTAACCATTACAGATTAGTTTGATATCTTTACTCAAGTACTAATTACAAATTTATAAATAATAAATTGCATGTAGTTTGCAAATATATATACGGTTAACTGATTTTTGAGCCACCCTGTATAAGGAGCAGAAAGACTGGAAAATTATTTCTTTCTAGCTATAAAGCTAAAACTCCTAACGTTCTATAAATAGAAAACGATTCATCTCTTACCTTTCTCAGCTCTTTAAAGGTTCTACAGCATAATTCGATTCTTAAATAATTATAAGGTCTAACTTGAAGCAAGTTTCTACTTCGAAGATTTAAGTAATTAAGCCTAAGATTTGCAGTAAGATAAAAAAAAAAAAAAAAATTGTAGATTTAATGCGATTCATGCTTAAGGAAGTACTAAATTGAAAATAAACACATTTCCTCCCAAAATTTACCGTAAAATTCTTTGAATAATTGACAGACATTACATTAGTCTAAGAGTAATTTAGAGATAATTCGATACTGTACTAAATCTTATCACTTTTGTAAACAGTTGAAAATGTTTTAAATCATCACCTTCAATTAGGCGCATCTTTGTTTGTTTATTTGATTAAAAATGTTTTTTTTTTATTTGTTTTGTTTTGTCCTTTTAAAACAGATTTAAAAGTACATGAAACAATTTCTCCACAAATGAGATAAATAACTCTCATTTATAAAAGAAATAAACATATTAATATCAATGTTATCTGTGTCAATATTTATTTTAAAATAGTAATTTAATGAAATTTACTATTTAAATAAGTTGTTACTATTGTTTAACATCGGTATCGGGAGATAAAATAAAATCGATATTGATATGCTGGATAAGATAAGCTTAAATAAATAAAATCTAAGTTTATTATTTTTTTTAATTTAAATTAACAAAAATCTGCCACTTGCCAAACATTAGACAATTAAGAATAAAGTCATACATACTCAAACTTCGATTTAGCGCCTCTAAAATTGACACTAAATCGAGTATAGCGCTAAATTGAAGAATGTCAAATAGGGGTTATGTACTGTACTGTACGTATTAATGAGGTATACACTAAAGTTTTGATTAAAAAATCATTTGATTTAATCCAATAATAATTCAGATACCGAAGAGTTTTTTTTTTTTTAATTTAATTTTTATATAGAAGACAAGTTTACGAGTGGCGCTATTTAGGAAGGCGTTACAGCGAGGTTTGACTTATTTACTTTTATATTAAGCTATGAATTAAGTCTAATAGAAACTAACAAACTCTTACTGCCGTATTCACAATCAAGTATCAGGAGTTAGAAGTTAACCAATTGCCGTTCGCTTTACTCTTAGTACGTGTACTCTTACTGGTTAACTTTTAATTCTAGCTCTTAATCCTTGATTGTGAATGCGGGTATTAGTGTTTTATAAGTAGAAAGTGCTTGTATATTAACACATACGCCGACACAAACATAAATTACACACGTTTTTATAACTTAAAAATATATTAAAAGCTTAAAATTATCTTTAGTAAATGAATGATTGATTTGGTAACTAATGATATAGTTAAACTAGTTTGTTTTAGGAAAATTTTGTCTCTAATTCTCCATAGTTAGGCCAGTGTTTTATATTCATACAAGTCTTTTTTCTTTTTTTTTTTTTTAGGTATTGCTAGATGCAGTAAACCCTGCTCAAATATCCTTTCTGTTTATAAAATTACATAAAATTGTAATGAAAAGTTTCCAAATAATAAAGAAACACTAGTAAAAAAAAAGAATAAAAAAAAATTGGAAAAATACATCTGTGACAGTTGTAATATAATAATAAACCCAATATTTGAAAAATTAATGAGCTTTAGAAGATTCGCTAAAATTACTATTTGTAGAGGCAACGTGGAGTAATCTGTCTCCAATAAATTTTTATTAGAGAAGTCCAAGTTCAATAACCTTATCAAGAGTACTTTTGGAGTCTGATGCTTTCTGATGAATAAAAGGTGATGACATTGCATTTCAATTGATGTTAGTTAAGCCCAAAGGAGATGGAACCTATTCACTACTAGGATCAGTCAGGCAATGTAACTTATGAGACCCTCTTTGTTAATGGAATTAACAGAATACCACACTTTTGTTTTTAATATTGCATTTTTTTTTTCCTTCTTCCATTTAAAGTGTCGATTATTTTAGAAAAGTGGAAAATATAATCGATTTTAACTAATATCGAGATGAATTTTACTGAAAATAATTAATTATTTTTTTTTCTAGTTATGTAAGAACTTTCTCGAGTTTCATTATTCTTTACAAAAACTTCTACCCCCCTTGGTCTCAGATGATCGACAGACCGATTACTTCTAAGGCTTTTACCTAAATAAGAAAAGTATATATATATATATATATATGTATACAAATACTTCCTTTCATAAAGGAAGAGATAACAAAGAGCAAAATGCTGAGAACACGATCGATTATTTTCCAACTTAATAAAATTAAGTTAAGGATATAAATTATTAGATAATTTAACTAATTTTTCATACTTTAAAACTCTCTAAATCTGTTTTATAATTAATTAGATGTATAAAAGAGATATTTAATTTTGTAAGAAATTTTAAGCAGTGACTAACTGCTCCGAAATGTATCATTTATTCTCAACAGGATAAATGGAAACTAAATGGGAAGATGTATGCAGAATGAGAGATGATTATAAAAGAAGCTTAATAATTTTATATAGGCTATATTAAATTTAAATCGAATACTTTTTACAGATATACTTTTTTGTATGCCTATTTTATATACCTGTATAACAGAGAATGACGTAAAATTTTCTCTGGTAAAAGAGAGTCGCGAATGGAAAAGGTTTAAGAAGATTTAGAGGTATTATACAGATGCAGATATAAAACAAAAATATCAATAAGGAACAGTAAAATGAGGCCTCAACGAAGGCCCTGCTTTAGAGGTATTATACAGATGAGGATTTAAAAGAAAAATATTAGTAATAAGCAGTAAGATGAGGTTTCAGAGAAGGCAAAGAGTTAATGAGGACCCTCTTTTTCTACCTTATTTTTACAGATATTTTTCTATCTTTTATGGAAAAATTGTATTTTTTGTTAATTCTGTAACGCATTTTTATAAAAATGCATTGAAACAAAGCAGATATACGTCTAGGATAGATACCTAAAAATAACTGCTACTCATCACTCAAGACCATAAATATGAAAAGAAAGACTTTAATGAGTAATTCGCTTATAACTCAATTGGGTCATTTAATTTGATTTCTTAACGATGATTATAATTGCAAGGAGGTTCGTTACTTACTTATTTACTCGTGTGTCTGATATTTATTTTTATATTTCCGATCCATTAATGAGGATTTCTTTTAATTGAAACCACATCTATTCAATTGGAATTTGATTTTTTACATATATTTTCCATGCTATTTTAAACATTTTAATATCCACAGATATATATTTTTCAAACACGTAACTTGTGTATATATATATATATATATATATGTATATATACTAAGTGTATTTATTTAAGAAAATTCAATATTGCAATTGACGACGTTGACGGCTTATTTATTTATTATTATTATTATTATTATATTGATATCAAAATATTTTTTAGTACGCGGGATAGGATTTTAAAAAGGAAAAAATTTTTTATGATATTTCAGATCTGATACATAAAAAGCAATTTTAAATCGGTTCTAAAGTGCCGAAATATATGATACTAAGAAGAAAATTGAATAAGTAATGTAAAACCAAGTGCTTAATGCTCGATTTTTAATTAAATAAAAACAAGAAATTGAAAATTTAATATTGATTTTTTAATGATGATAAAAATTAGATTCTCAGTAATAAATTCTTGCCAAAGAATGTTCTAAACACATCAACAAAAATTACGTGAAGTTAAATGAAAATTTTCAAAAAAATATATTTATTTTTTTTTTGTTTTTAATGCATTATTAGATGGTAAGAGAAATGCAATCTGCACTTTCGCCTTTCTAGTCATTAAGGAGCAAGAATTAGATCTCTATAATCTAATGATGTGAGTTCTTGCTCGATTGTGATTAAGGGTGAATCTTATTCTGTTGTTTCTTGACAATAATGAGTTTCTTTCACTTGTATTACTTGATAAAAACTGACGAAGAAATAAAAGAAAAAAATAAAAAAACTTGTTACAAGTTACACGAGATTTAAATTCTTAAAAGTCCCAACGAAATCATTTCGTTAGGAGTTTGTAAAAATTAAACTGTCCCGGCATTCCTAAGTTAGGACATGTACTTCTTTCAGATCAATAGTCTCCCATGTGACATTGAAAGGCTTCCATGTTATGTTGTTAACATTCTTCTTTCTGAATTTCCTTACGCTTTGAGGCAGATAGAAGACAATGCACAAAGTGTATTTTATAAAAATGTTTGTAAAGGAAAGAATTCGAGTGTGCGAGTGTCGTTGTCAACTCAATAAAGAAGATAGCTACAGGCTTAGAACTAAAATATATAGGTCTTAAAATACATTTTTAACCTTATAATTTTTTTAAAAAAATAAATTTAGTTACCGTATAATCGATATTAACGGGATACAATATCCGTTATTGTTTAAACATGATCAAAAATATTCATTACTATAAATCAATTTATGGATGCATTTATATATCGATTTTTCTTTTTCTTCTCGTAAATATATAATATATTATTGATACCAATTTTATGCGAGTTACAAGCATTTATTCCAATTTAATGAAACTTTCTAGATATGTTCATTTGTACGTGGCATAATTTAAGATGATTCATATCCAATTTTCTTCATCTCCTCGGGAAATTATCAACGATCTTTATTAAGAAAGACCCGCAGCATTTTCTTTATTTTGTTATCATCATTATACTAAGATATTAGAGGAAGCAAATATTATCATTGACGGCACGATGCAAAGTCAAGTAGCATAATAATAACTTTCATTCGCTCGTATATTCTTATATTGTTGAATAATCTACTTTCATTACAATACAGTAATATTATTACTATTTGAGTAAGAAAAACTTTATCAAAAGTTTCACTTTCTTGTAGATTAGACTAGATTCTATTCAGAAACATTCAAGTTTACAGTGTTTTAGTTAAAATTTGGCCCTTTTTTTTGGAGAAAATGTCTATCCAAATTAACCTCCTTAATCTCTTTACGTTTCCCGAATTTTTATTTTGATTAAACATGATCATGCTGATGAAGAAACTTAATTGAAAATCCACTTTTATATTAAAAACAAAACTAATAAGATTTTTTTTTCTAAATATTATTATTAATTTAGGAGTGAAGTTTATGAAAAACTTTCTCTTGTAAGAAAAGCGAATAGTATAGTAAGAATAAAAGTATTTAGAGAGGAGAAAAATAAAATAAAAGAGTATAAAGTTTCATATAATGCGCTGCTTAGTTTATAATGATAAAGTTTTATAGTATATAAATAGATTTAAAAGCAGAAAATGAAGCAAAAGTATCTAAAACGATATCAACTTACCGCCTAATTGTTTTTATTATTATGTTTGTTTTCGTTCTTTTGAAAGAACCATTATCTTTCTCTATATGAGATAATGCCGTTCTTCTTTATAAATAAATAAACAAGTAAAGATTATTACTGTTTCTTGCTGGAGATATTCTTTGATCAATGTATCATAGATCAGCATTGAAACAAGCAGAAAATACTGTTAAAATAACGTTAGAATTTCTACTTTAACACATTTCTTTTAATGTAAATCAAATATGTTTTTAATTAACGGCCTAATTTTGCTGTTTACATCACATAAATTTATGTCAAATTTATTGTTATTGTCAGCCAATCCGAAAATTATTATAATTAAATTAATTATAATTATTTTTTTCACTGTAAAACGTTTCCTATTTACATGTACTTAATCCAATTTTTTTTCATCTTAGTTATGATTATTGTACTACAACAACGACATATCCGCTTTATTTTTCCATTGTCGAAGAATAAAATGAAAATTTTCATTTTTAACAAACAAAAATTAATAATATTTATGACATTTTTACTAATTAAAATTTAATAAAAAAAATGTTTAAAAAAATAAAACATAATTTTCTTCCTGAACATTAAACTCTCTTCAGTACGTTCAATAATCCTATTAAGGTTTAAAAATTAATAGAGAAAAATTACTACAGCATCGAAATAAATTAAACTTTATTATGTTTACTAAACATTATATAGTTTTTTTCACTCTAATTATACATCAAATTCTAATATTTCAACACAACCATCACTATCATCTTTCATAAATTCTGAAAATATCACTCCTATTTACCTTCGACCTTATAATAAACTGTCGAGTGTTTCTTAAAGGAAAATATATATAAATATATATAGAGATTAGTAGGATATATATATATATAACCCTATCTCACAGCTACTTGTCTTCTTTTTAAAGCATTAAAACTATAAATTACTAAAGTAGCATAGTGCTTTAACCAATACGAATTTTTAAAAAATCCTTATAAAAATTTTAGGAATATAATTTTTATATATTATATTTAAAATCCTGAATACAGAAAGAGTCGTCATCTACGAAAAAAAATGAAAGAAACAGGTTGAAAATATTGTTTATCTAAACTTGATTCCCATCCATTCTTTCTAACTTTAGTCATATTTCCATTCCTTCCATATATATTATCTTCTTCTATATCATTTATTGTATTTAAATTATAAATTTAAATACGATAAATATAGATATCATGTAATGATGAATGGATCTTGTGATCGACGATTTACAGGGATGCGAACATAGCCATCTGTCATATCCAACAGCACAAATAGAGATTTATGTCAAGATCAAATCAAAAACATTACTTCAAGCTTAAACTTTCGCATAAAAGAAATAAAGAATAATATATTTTTTTTTTTATTTTGATAACTCATTCAAGTTTATAAAAGAAAATATATTTCGCGATAAAAATAAACTTACTTCCAAATATATTAACTCGGTAAAGAAAATAATAATATTTATGTAAGATTATGTAAAGAGCAAACGGATACGTGATATCGATTACCACGACCTTAATTTTTTTTTATAATAAGGCTTGTACGTACGTAATTCTACTCAATTGTCTCGATTTTTTTCTTATACCGAACTCCAAGTAATGATCATTATCGCGATTATATCCCTTCTGTATAACATTCATGTTGTATAGAAGGAAACAAACCCTTCATTAAAACGTTTTTTTATTATTTACTTATCGTTATTTTGACCTGCCATATTCATAAATAGTCACTAGAGCGCATTTCCTTATAAACAATATACAGTAAAACCTACCCAAAATGGATAATAGCTTCGTGGGAATTGGGCGAATTTGAATTTTACGTGCATTGTTGACTTCAGGCATCTTTCTTCGGGGGGGAGGGAATATTTTCTTATAAAAGATTGGTTTGGGGTACCTTGTTAATGGTACCCTAGGAAATTGCTCTTTTTGCCCATTAGGTTCGAAGCAGAAATAACTACAAATGTCTACTTACGAAATTTTTTATTCTAATATAATTCGAAGCATATGTGTAATTTATATAAATAGGAGCCATATGTTGGCCATAAAGACATATTTTTCATATTATAGAGTAGGCCTTATATCATCAATTATATAACAGATTTCAAACGTTATTTTATATAATTTACGGCCTTTAACAATTAGACTCCATTTAATGTTACGAATGTAATTAGATCTACGTGCCTTCTATTAAAATGTCTTAAAATGTATTAAATGACTCATTAATGCGCTTTAAATTTCTCATTAATAACTATCGCATCTCTCATATTTTGAGAGAGAGAGAGAGAGAGAGAGAGAGAGAGAGAGAATCTTAGGATTCTTAAAGATGTATCTTCGAATAACTTTCTTTGATCGCATTCAAAAGGCACATAAGAAACTCCAGATTTAAAAGACATTTTTGCAAGCGGCATTGAAAAATCTTAAAATATATTTCATATTTTTCGCTGAGTTTGGTTGCATTTACAGCACACATAGACTATGCTTCATTTCTTATACGTTATACAGAAAAAAAAAGTAAAATATTTAGTGAAAAAACACATTTTACTCGCTTAAATAATAATAAATAAGGTTAAATTTCGCAGTGTCCATTATAAAACCTCTCTTGGGAAGAGATTCGTAGTAAATCTCTATTTGTCATTTTTACACTTATTTAATTACAATAAACAAGAGCGAACGAAATGATTTCATTTAATCTACTAAATAGTAATTAAACCACCTAAATTAAGCATAAGAATTTATTAAAACTTTCCCCCCTTTTAACGTTAAAACCGGATTTCCAAATGGCCAAAAGCTTATCCAAAAACGGAAATCATTTTCCACTGTTCAAAATTTATTCTAAGCGTAATCTCTACTTTTAAAAGTTTTTAATTGGTTTATCACTTTTATGACGTAACTGTGTCAGTATGTGTACTACGTATACATTTTTCTTTTCAACCTGGTTTTAACCAGTTGTGTGTCGACCTTTGACCCGAGTTTTCGACTCCAGACTGTCCGACTCCTCGCTACTCTGTAGTAAAATAAATTATGCATTTATCAAATTTAATCGGCGCTTGCCTTACTTTGAAAAATTCGTTCTAGTCGAAGAAGTGCAAGTACGAAGATAATTAGACCGAATCTTTCTTACATAGAACTTAAAAATCGTTATATAAAAGCTCACTTATGAGACTTTAAAATCTAGTAAATCCAGTTCGGATGCTATTATTATTGTAATTTAACAAATTAATTTTATTTTGATGATTTACAAGTGCACACTTCCGGGAAATTTCACATATTAAATTAAATCCTTGTTTATCACTAATGAAGTTGAAAGCAACCTTAATTTGTAATTTTATTAATGATACTACGTTGTTTTAATCAAAGGAATCTTCCATACGCTACTAACTAATTTATAAGTACCGTACCTCCAACAATCTCATCATTTTCCTCCCTCCCCACTCTCTCTCTCTTCTTTCTTCGTCTTGAAAAGTCAATCTGGTTCTCATTTTTTAAAGCAAGATCGAAGCCGAAATAAAAGATAAATATAATCCCAATAGAATTTACTATTGAATGAAGACAAAAATGTATTTTCCTAGTTTATCTCTATCGAGTAATAGATGTGATAATATAAGTTGATTACCCGTAACGAGATTGTACAGTTTGCAAGTGCACTCTCATTTTGATGCAAATCATAAAATCGAAGCTGATCTGCGGTTTTCAAGCATTTCGTGTTTTCCTATTTTCCAATATTGATTGTCCAAGTATAGGAGAAAACTACTCTCTCTCTATATATATATATTGTTAATATTAGGATTTATATCAGAAAGTTTCTCCTCCTCTCTTCCTCCCTCTCTCTTTAAAGATACAGTAAATGCATGTATAAAACGGGTTATGTGATGTGCAATGAGCTAAGATAGATGAAATATTTATTCAATATTCGAATAGAAAAAAAAAATAAAGTTATATATTCCTTTTTGTAGAAAAAAAAATACATCAAATATCTGAGTAAAATGTAAATACAATAAGGGAAGTTTAAAACGATGATGCAATGATTGGATTTTGGAATTTCTTCTTCTTCTTCATCCTGCATTTACATTAAACTGATGGAATATTTTTTTCTCTTTTGTAGAGTTTTAGGGAAATTCGGGAAATGGGGAAAGTTAATTTATAAATTTATAACAGTGCTTAATCATATGAATGATTTAAAAGTAGATTTCAATGATTTTTTTTCCTGTTTTGAAATAGGGAATTTTTATCTATTTATATAAAAGGATCATTTAAATTATCAATAGACAATTCATTCAAATGAATTTAGAATTTTTATTTTTTTATTATTATTTTCCTTTCCTTGTTTGTGTTTTTTTTTTTCTATATACGAGATACGTTTTTATCTCGTTACAACGATAGTCTAATGTTAGTCATTTCCGTTATCGAGGGAATTTGGACTTTAGATTACACGTTGAAGAGTGAAATATTTTAAAACAGATTAGAGGAAATTTGTGTCTCTAGGATAGATAGAAATAGATAGCCCTATTTCTAAACAATAATTAAATAAAATTTCTGGAATTCTTAACGTTAAAGATCAAATAACAAATTTCCAGAATCGATTATAATTAAAATTAAAAGTAATAAAGATCAATCAAGGTTTATATAAGTTAAAAGTAATTCTATCTAAACTCTAGTTTCTGGAGGAGGAAAAAAAAATAAAATAAAATAAAAATCGAAAGTAAAATTTTCCAACTTTGAAGAGGGTAATTTTTCGAGTGAGGAGGAGAAGAAAAATAATAATAATATAATAAAAAAAAAAAAGGTAATTTCCGGAATGATTTATAATACGTAGAAGATAATTTAACTACATTTATAACATTTTTTAAAATAATAAATCCATTTTTAAGATTACATAAAACAATTCTACTAACATTTTAAGCCGGGATGGAGGAGGAAAAGTTGAAGAAATATAACTTTAAAAAAAAAAAACTTAAGAATTGGGAGTCATTTTTAAACAAAAAACACCCAACTTAAGCTTAAGCAAAATTGCTGTAGTAAAGGAAACTTATCTATAACAGCAGAAAGCCATAACTGTAGTGGGTTATAAGTTATGAAGTCACGTAGAACCAAAAAAAAAAAAAAGGTGATGGTGGTGGCAATTTAATTTCTAACAAGAATCAGAAGGTTGCGCTTCTTTACCAAGAAAAAAAAAAAAAGAGAGAAGAAGAAAATAAAAGTACCAAATCGCAGCTTAATATTACACACTTCTACACAAATAACTAACACTATAGCTACCGGATATTACCAGGAGTGATTGACCGTTGAGCAAGTTGGGTAAAGACTGTTTCCGTAACCATGGTAACGTAGATAAACACTGAAGACTGTGTGACGTTGAGTTAGGGTCATAGCATATATATTGGGTGCGACGATAGCTGAAATCGGGCTCTCTAACTCCCCCCCCTTCTTCTCTTTACTGTCAGATTTACTTTTCGTTCCAGACAATTCTATTTCATTCTTTTGTCAACTTTAAATGTATATTTTGATGGATTAGTTTCTTCCAAAGGAAAATACTAGTCATCGAAATCTTTCTTTACCATTAAATTTATTTGGTTTTACTCCCCCCCCGTTCGTTTTTAATATAAAACATATCGATCACTTTTATTTTATGTAAATATTAAAAATATATTATAAATTATAAATATATTAAAATGTGAAGATTTCATTTTAATAAAATATTTTCCTCACTCCCACTTTCATTTTTCTTTTATTCTTAATGAGAGACGGAGTGTGTTAATGTAAGAAAAATTGTAAATATGTATCCTTTACATAATTAAGTTTTTATACTTTTAACAGCTGACATTATTATATATAAAGTTATAATATATACTTTATCTCATTAGTCGCTTGGTTTGAATAATTAGGGATTTAGCCAATGAGATGAGAGTTTGCACAGAATTTCGATCTGGAACATTTTCAATAGAAAGGTGTCGTTAATAGCAGTCAATTTTGTATTTTTCGTGGACCACACCCTCTCCAATTAGCCGGAGAGTTTATTTAAAATATCTTCTTCGGTATTGATTCGTTCTACATTCTTGTTATCTTCACGAAAGATCTAGTTTTTAAAAAAAATCAGGAAGAAGAACCACGAACGTCTCTTATTAAGATTACACTGCAAAATCTTCCATAAAACTTTATATATTTTATCTATAATGCTTTCAATCCCCCAAATACTGCACTTGTCACGCCACTGGTTAACAACGTTTTCAACTTCAAAAAGTTAAAATATATATAAAAAAATGCACGTATACAGGAGAGAGAGAGAAGAAAAAAATCAAGAACTATAAACTAAAATTCGTTGTAACGTACTATTTTGTTTTCTTCCTGATTTCTTTTTTAATGGCTACTTTCGAATATTATATATATATATAGAAATGCCTTAGGCAAAAATCTACCGCATTCTACGCCATGCGTGACGTCAGCGGCAGTCACGTGATCGGAGGGTAAACGATTAGATCCCGAGTAGTAGAGTTTGATTTTTTTTTTTCTTTTATTTTATTCGAAACCCGGTGCTGCTATTTATATACTGAAACACGCATAGGGAGTGAGAGAGAAAAATTAGAGGAAAGGAGGTGGAAAAAAGCAAAAGCAATTATTGCAGAGTCTTAGCTAATAAAAAGTTCTAAGACTGGAAAGATCGTGTCAACACTATGCTTCTATTTGTATTTCCGGAAGAAGGAACAGATTCTTTCTTTCTTTTTTCTTTTACCCACGACCTGAAAGAATAAAACAAGGGAACTAGAGGAGAGAGAGAGAGAGAGAGAGACAATATTAACAAACGAGTGTTGTTGACGACTGAGTTGAAACAACTTTTTTATATATTTAATCACTCAAGGTTTGGATATTCTTCTAGTGGAAGGAAGGGGAGGAAAAAAGTCATCGATAACAATGGCCCGAGGCTGGATCCTCCAGTAAAAAGAAGCCAACAAGCCAATAACAGTGAAGTGAACGAGCCTCAAGGACAGCATAGCTGTTCTCTGGTGTGCTGTTATTCCAAGCAAACATAAGATGCCTTTAAAAGCTTTCTAAATTTACCTGATCCTAATGGCTTTTAGTCTGCGTACAGAAGATGAAACGGGAGTCGTAGCCTTTGGGCTATTCATTAGAAATACTGTACTCCATACGCCTGAGAATTATTGAACAATAGTCTCACAAAGAGCCGAAGCTTGTTTCATTCTTCGATTATCGAAGTTAAGGAAATGAGAAAGAACTTTTTAAAAAAATACATAAAAAATTAATGTATTTGCAAAACTTTTCAACTCTGCCGGATAATATTACATTATTTAATCTTCTTTCTCTCCATTAGTGAAAATAAAGCTGCTGCTTCTTTAAAAAAACACATACCTATTCTTTTTTTTCATGCGATTCCTATTATGAATACGATTTGATGCAAACGCTTTTGTCTTATCATTAAATTACGCTTGTTAAAAGCCGTAAACTTCGTAATTATTTCGATATTTAATTTGAGAAACTCACAAAATTAATTGCAAATTGGCTTTATTAATTCGGTTAGCCTATCGAATTTATTTAAAATCTTTTAATTTAACGCACATAATTATCCGGAATCTAAGATGACAAGAATTCAGATTTTTAAGAAAATACGCCATGTAAATCAATTGAAAATATATTAAATTACCCAATTACTATTTATGGAAACCGTATACCACCAATAGTTTACAGGGTATAACACGCAATCGTCCATATTAAATGACAGTTATGCAAGTTATGAGAAAGAAACAAACAGAATAACAGAAGTCAAACAACACATTCGTAGGCTTTTAATAAACCTTAGCTGACTTCCCCCAGTTGAGAAGTAGCCGTTTTAGTGTACACTGGATGTACTGTACATCATCTAGTCTGAGTACAAATATTGATTTATACACCGTATGTTTGTTTTTCCGCTATTAAAATACCCGTCAGCAATTCTATCCTTAATAACAGGAAATACTTTATCGACTTCATTGTAAAGTAGTGTGACTTAAAGAAACAAATCTTTACGTTTTACCGAGTTATTTGGTGGATATTCTTTTTCGCTATCCGATTTTCAACAGTAAACCGGGGGGATTAGCGGTGCCATCTTGAAAACATAGCGTGATACATTCGCTTCAGGCAGTAACTATAATCTGAAACTTTCTTTTTTCCCCTTCTTTCTTTCTTTTTCTTTCGTTTAAATGATGTTTAATTTATGAACGAAATTTAAAAACTGACCTTTTAATACAGAACTTTTTAATAAGGGCGGGGCCATAATCAAGGTCAATAAAGTTTTGATGACATTCCCCTTGGCAGCGATTCGTTTTATATGCGTGAAAGTTTAGTCAATGTTTCGACATTATGTTACTTCGATTTAACGAAAGGGGGTGGAGGAATAAATAAAAAAAAAGCTGAAAGTTCACCGACATAAATCATTTCGTCGACAAAACGAACATTTTGTATTCAGAATGATTAAAATGCAGCAGAGGCAGAGTAACCAAACCTCTATAAACTATACTGCATAAGTCAATGTACAGTACACATACATACAATATGTACACTACAGCTGCGATTTCGTGTATCACGCATTCGCCTCGCGTGATTATTAGAAAAACTACAGATTACCAACCATCTAATTTTGAATTTTACTACATCGTTTAGTCTCGAAAGTATTTTTATTCGCTAATATTTTTTTATGAATAAAATGCACCTGTTATATATATAATTTCTTTATGAAATTTAGAAGACATAGCACAGCTTATCGAGTAACTCTATTATCTACGAAGAAATGTTATTCGCAATAACACGGCTATATTGCCAATATAGGAAATACCATATCTCTCTCGATAGCCTGTCTTCATTCCGAATGTATTTTGGGATATTTTCTCTTGATCTTAACTTACAAATAACATTTAGTAGCATTCTCATTCCAAATCCGTTGCTATATCAGTTACAACAAAGGTACAACTAGTAAAATTTATATAATTATCCCAGTTGGACTTTCCTTTCTAAAAAAAAACCCCTTCCAATTAAAATAAAATTCCATTATTAATGGAGATTTGTAATACAAAACTTAGGAAAATGAAAATATTAATATTTTAAGAAGGTAAACTATAAAAGATGCATTACTCTATACATCATAGCAAAATATGATATGTAAGTAGTTAAAACCTATTTTTAAATTATAAATGAATATAACAGAGTTACGAAATTAATAACGTATAATATAATTAATTATAATTCATGTTTTTAGAGTTGTATTTGAGATAAATCTACAATATACACACAATTATTAATGTTTGTATAATACAAATAACACTGAACTGTAATTAATTAGTCTTTACATATATATATTATTCAACTGAAGATTGATTAAAGATTCTTAAATATCAAATTTAGATGCCTTCTGTAGTGAATGACACAAGCTAGAAGAATATCATATAAAAATAATTAACTTCAATCTATTGCAGATATAATTCAGTTAAACATTTATTAAGAGTAACGTGAATTATCATTTCAGTTTAAAATGAATTTATTGTATTTTAACTTGAGTAAATTCAAATGTAAAAGAAAAAATTGCTATTAATGAAATTATATAGTTACAAATGAAATAATTTTACTGGTAAGTGTTATTAAAGAGAATTAAATTAATTTAAATTGTTGTGTTATATTTCTTCTGCAATAATCCAAAGGAATTTAACTTTGTTCTCTCTATTCGAACTCCAGTTTACTTCGAGGCGTAGAAAAACACCAACTCGAATAATTACTCGGCATTTAAAATCAAAGACGACAACAGTATTTCCAATAACATTTTATTTTATATCCTATAAAAATAGCAATTTTTTTACCTTATTTATTTTACAGCATTGTAACAACTGTACATGGACACATCATGTTCCAAAAAGGCAGAGAACCATGACAATAAAACATCCAATATGACTTACCTATTATAATAAAACATACAGAGTACACACACACTTGAAAGGCCTATTACAAAAAAATACTAAAAAAGCTGATATGATGTAGGATTGGTTTTCTTTTTTGTTTTTTTATTTTAGTTGAAAGAGTATATTTGTATAAAAAAATTTTTTAACAACTTAGAACAACAAAAAAAATGGCAAAAGAAAAAAAAAAAAAACAAATCAATCTCATAATCTCTTCCATGATTTTTTTTTTCTCTTCAAAGTTGTAAAATTGTGTAGGAATTTTTTTAAAAATAAGTGATTGAGTCCTTTTCTTCTGTAAACATTTCACTGTCAAACATTAGCATGCATACATGTTCATATTTACACAGCACAATGTGTAGTAGTTTAAAAGAAAATTTACAAAAGTTTCACACCTGAATTTTTCTCGAGTAAAGAAACATAAAAATGAAACCTAGATACATACACACGTGTACAAGACCACAAATAGATTCGTTGCTTCTTTTCAGCAAAACCCCGAGTTATTATTACATTTTTTTTTATTTTTTAAATCACGTTTTAATATTGCTACTTTTAAACCATATTATTATTATTTTTTCCTTTATAATTTATGTTTAAATACTTTAAAATAGTTAATTGTACGATAAAAACAGCTGTATTTCAAATACATGTAAAAAAACTGGGAAGAGAGTAATCAGGAAGAACAAAAAAAAAAAAAAAAAAATATAAGAACACTTTGGCATCATAAAACAAGGAAGAGCTGCGATTTTAAATTGACATATATAAAAAACAACAACAACAAAAAAAAAAAAGATTATAAATACTTATCAATGTACGCACCTGAAATTCCTTATTTATAAAATTTAACTTTTGGACTGATTCTTGACCAGATGCACTTACAAAAACAAGAAAAAAACTTTTTTTTTTGTTTTAATATTTACTATCTTCCTCCAACTAGTTCCAGTTTTCGATATTTTTTCCTCAAAGTCGATACGGGATCCTTAAAAAGGACAGGATCGAGCCTCATACTCGATCTTACTAGAGGCACATAGCCAAATATGCTTGCAAAAGTATTGATGCAAGTTTGTCTTTGAACAAAGTGATCTGGATCGTTCCAGGGTGATGGATAGGATTTGCTTCCCGGTAGCATACTCTCTTTGTATTGCTTACGTTGAGTCACTTTAATTGGTGGAAGTTTGGTGACATGGCTGACTAGAAAATTCATCAGTATGTCCTCACAATTCTGAGATTGGTCCACAGTTTTATGAAGTAGACTATTCAGATAGTAAGTGTATAAGTAGTTATAATACCTGTAAATAGGTGACAAAATTTAGAATGCAAATGTTTGTTTTTGTTTTTTTTTTTTCAAATAATGAACTATTAACTTGCCTGTGATAAAAAGCTGCCCCTGTTAAAACAATTGAGTACTCATTGGTCCATTTTGATGTATAACCCCAACAACCTTTAGTATCGTCCCAAAAATGCGATCTGGCAGGATATCCGACAATTCTTTCGGGAAACGATTGCCAGACTTTAAAAGCAAAATCCATCTGTATGTATTTAATAAATAATAAAATTTACTGTTACTTTTCTAAATTACCAAATTTTTAAACAAAAATAATATAAACTTTTTATTTTTAAAATAAATCATATAACCTCTTCTGTCGTCAGGACTGCATCTTCATCCAAACTAAGTACGGCGTCGGTTTGTATAAGGGGATGAGGAAAAAATCGAATTCCGATTGTCTGCGAGGTAAACAAAATCAATACATCAATATCTAAATGATCTAAATACTTAACTTCTAGAGAGTTTTATGTAATTATCTTTTATTGATAATTTCGAGAAAACAGAAGAAATCAAAGCAAGCATCGAATTCAATTTTTCAATGCTGCAGATGTAAATATTATACTTTGGAGATTACAGGCAGAAGAACGTATCCATCAACCCACATACCTTCTGTTGTGGATGGATGAGATTGATGGGCACAGGAGAAGGAGGCCATTTATTCCACAGTGGTGGTGGAGTTTCACTATTCCATATTACTATGATCTGAGAAAGATACCAGAAAAAACAAGTAAATAATCCAACATTTTTTTTTCTTTTCTAGGTAAAGTCTTCATTTCAAAACAGTTTATAAACATAATATCTGATCTATCATATAAATAAAATACTCAATATGAAATTTTTTGAATTGATAAAATTGTAAAATAAAAATGTATTTATTTATTAAATGTGAACTGTTTTATTTCTCAGTATGATAAATTTATACGTAACTCTTTCAAACTAAACGTTTTACTTAAAATTTATCATATTATATAACATATTAATGGTAAATTTTAAATGTAAAAATTATAGTAAACTCTGAATATAAAAGTTACTTTTATGACTAAAACTATTGCATAAAATTAAAGATTTTTGCATTTAAATGCGAACCGATACAGTAAATTAATAGTGTACTTTAAATCGACTTAACAATAGACGAGGGCATTAACCCACCCTGGCCACATTGGTCGACTTTGATACGTTTCTAATGAGTCGCAATAGAGGAGACGAATGGGTGAGAGTTGGAATGGCTGCGTAGATAACGGTCGTGAATTTCGTGTGGGGACGGGTTCCTAATGTATGGAGATGGAATGGATAGTCCCGCAGATTATCGGAGAACTGGGGCAACATGACTAACGCCCCCGGATGCGAGTTCCAAACTTTCGACGTGCGGACGATGTGCGTATGAATTCTCTCTTTAATGATCTACGACAGAAATAAAAAAATAAAAAAATTTAATCAATAAAACAGAGTTTCTAGTATAAAAAATCTTTTAAATCCGTCCCAATCTGGGTTGCAATCAAAATTTAATTAAACCGAGTGCAGCTGTCGATCTGTCAAGGTGGATTCAAAATACGAAGCACTCACCTCGAGCGTAGTCATGACTATCTTTTCTACAGAAGAGAAATAAGTCTCCCATAACACTTGTGTCTGTTGACAATAGGAAGCAACCTTTTCACTGGGGATAGAACGGACAATATCTGGAACCTTAACAGGAAAAAAAAAGGAGAAAAATGTAATCAGAGAACGCATCTCGCTAGTTATTGCATCGGAAGTCGGCGAGATTAATATATTTTTTTTGTTGTTTGACATATTTCCCACGAGTAATTTCTCAATGAGTACGATGGTCCCTTGGATCCGAGTGTCAACGCACGCGCGCCGTTCATCCATCAAACAAACATCCTTACCTGCAACAACAGTCTCTCGTCGGCCCAAACGGCAGCTTTATTCCAGTCAATCACTTCGGAAAATGGTAGTTCCCACCCGTTACTTAGCAACACGGGCACACAACCCGCTTGAAGGGCTTCCAAGAAGCGGAAGGAACCCAGACGACGCCCTCTCGGGACCAAACAGAATGTTGCATTCTGCAACAACACCCGATAGTCGTACCTGCGAAAAAAAAATAAAATAAAATAACGCCTATGTATATTAAGATTTCCTATCATTTTCTACGAATTTAGCCATCCGAGATGGATTTCTTTGGCCATGTTTAATGCTCAATTTATAATTTGACTGGGCGGTGAAGGACGGTAAAGAATGGCGTAGGAGAAAATGACTAGAAACGATTTTGAAACTGCCACATCAATCTGACGACGTTCTTCGCCAATAAGAAATGCCTGCAGAGAACAGATTTAACGGGACGATAACGTAGAAGCAAATAATACATGGAAGAAGCCCAAAGCTACTTTAGAGGCATCAATTAAATACACACATTCATCACACCGAGAAAACTCATTGGTAAAAAGTGGTCTCATCGCCATTCCAGTGTGCGTGTGGTTTTTTTTTCCATTCTTTTTTTCTCTCTCTCTCTTCTCCAAAAAATCAAATGGTTTTAAATTGCTGGCGTAATTAAAGTGGTAGCGTTGAAATGTAGGTCATTGGGCTAAAGCTTACACCTACAATGTAATTAGTTTTGAGTGATTTACAGTTACGTTGCGTAAATTGAATGGGGAAAAGACGCTTAACTCTTTTCAATCCTAGCTAGCGAGGGGGAGAAATTCTAATTAAAACTTTCGGAGAAATTTAACTGAAATCTCGACATTTTTTCTTTTTTTTTTTTTAAATTGCGACAAACACCTTTGTACATTATCGTAGGAGTTTATAAAATTACGAAATGGCTCATAACTTTAAGTGACGAACACGAAAATTCGGAAGCGCAAACTGAATAAAAATTGCTTTTCACTTAATCTCTAGAATAAAATCTAACTGGAGTTTTCAAATTTCGTTTCCCTCCTTTCTTCCCCAGTGTTTAAAGGTGAAATTAAACGTGGCACTGCTTTAAAATGACATAATTCTACCAATGATTCATACCGAAATGAGTCACGTGAAGCCAAAGAAATGTTAATTGTTTTAAAAGTTGGAATGATTTATGGGAGTAAAAATAAAATAATAATAAAAAAAAAGTATTTAAGAAACTATTTTCCGAATATGGCGTTCGTAAATGTCACATTATAATTTAAAATTTCTACTTATTTTTAATTTCCCCATAGACTACCATTCATAATTTTATCGGGCCATATCGACTAATCTTTAATTATCGGTAAATTAACTATTTTATTTCGACGTGAGTAAGATAATGAGTTCGATTATGCATACCTTTAGATAAGAGAGGACAATCTACCATCATCCAATATCTCTTTCAGGCACAGAATTTGGGTCTTTTTTTTTTAAAAAAAAATTCCTGCCTGCGCCCATTTTTAAATGATTAATTAATTTACTTACAAAATTAACAAACAATTTTCAATTGTTTTTATTTATTTATTTATTACTTTTAAATTTGAAATTATTGCATTTTTATAAACATTTTCCAGGAATGACAGGTGTTTTACCGTGTTCTAACACGTGCTTCCATCCCCTCTACACTCACCTGAATCGTAATAAACATATTTTATAGCGAATTTCGCTTGTGTAATTAAATTAAATTATAGTTTATGTTGTATAATTATAAATATTTTAAATATTACTTATATATATATATATTTGTCTATTTAGAATTCTAGGAAGATATTAGTAATACGATGATAAATATTTTATTATATTCTAGATATATCTTTTCTAATTTATTTTATTTAAACTTTAATAAAATATTTATTATTTGTCTTAATATTTTCATTATGTATTCATGAAGTAAGTCTTGATATTTTGTCGAGTAAACAAATATTTGTTATTCTTTACTGCATGAGGATTTAAAGAAAAAAAAAAATAATATGAATCATCTTATCTATTTCCTTATGTCTAGTTTCGAATTCTGTTTAGTTTATGGAAACGTATTAAAATATAAAGTATATATATATATACTTTTAAAGCATGTTTACGTCGAATTCTTTCTTGCTTACTGCTTACACGCCCAACGAAGATGTAAACATTAATTATTTTAGCAAAAACTTATCTTAATTGTTTACTAGAAAACCATATTTTTTTATTGCAAAACCTTGATATTTATTCCTAGTAACACGTCGATAATAAATCACTATGAAATCCTCGACCTTCAAAAACCGGAAAAAGGAAGTTTATGTTAGTATACTCTTAGCATTCTGATTGCAACAGCTTTCTTATTATTCCTAAATCATCATCGTCATAATCAATGTTTACTTCGGAGATGATATTTCGAGTAAAATCATCGATAGCAATACAATATTTTACTTTATCATCATCGACTGTAATGTAAATATTGTTTTGAAAGCATCATCATCGACTGTGTATAGGCCTATATAATATTTGAGCTAACATTATCGATTATATTTTGTACTATATCTATTAAATTGACACGTAAATCAGCATATAAAACCTTAAAACAAAATTACAAGATGTACCTCATCCATTCTGGATTGTTAAGAGAATTCAATGGATTTATAAAACATCATTTTTTATTTTCTTTAAACATTTAATATACATACTTTTATTAAATATCGGAATCCTTTTCTTATTCATTGTATGACCAATAATTCAAACAGGAAAAGATACGGCAGAATGTATCTCGGCTATACCACTCGTTTAGATCTTATCTCTTCTTCATCCGCTAACAAGAAGCATCTTACGTAATCAATAATTTTCCAATTTTCCTAACTTCCTTATCTTCTTTGACCATACAATACCGGGCGAGAATTTAACTGGTATAGATTATTATTTATATTCCACTAATCTGGTAAATCTGAAATGCTAACAACATCCGAATACGACAAAGTATCGTTTTACCTTCTAAAACCCTACTTAGATACGATTTTCTTTTTTTTTAATCAGAAAATTATCTCACTAATTAACGTCGACTGAAACTAATTGCATTGAGTGAGAAAAATATATATATTTTTTTCCTTCCCCTCTTATCAACCGCAACTCTAATTGATTCTGTAGCTCCTTCCAAGCTAGGATTAATCGCTACGTAGGTAGCCTTCCAGGTAAGATTACTTAAAAGCTACAACTGATTAGACAAGTGTTTCGTCGCTTAAATCCTTTAAACAATTATCCATTAAGCGTCTATTCCTATTAAAATACGAACATAGTAACATTCGAGACTTATTCCACCCACAGTTCGTGAGATGTTACGATAAACAAGTTTAAAAATAGCAGTATCAGTTATAGAAGTTGCACCTTACATCTCCATCCACACGTGCACCTTCTATAATTACTTTTGCCAACACAAAACACGTCACAAAATTAGATAACTTTTCTATATAAGCTTACGTGATTAGAGATCACGTAACCCTACACCCATAAGTGGGAAACTCCGCAGCTGCAACACCCCCCAGAAAATCGCTTTTAAAGCTTAGGAATTTAATCACGTAGCTCCTGTTTGAATAGAAGATTGCCAACTGTGTTTATAAATATAAAAAAAAAAAAAAGAGGGAGAAAAATCCTAGCGTTTACAGAAAGACAAACAACGAAGGGAACGTATGCCAAAGCGTAAATACAGAGGCAGAAACAAACATCATCAGGGGGAGAAAAAATTCCTAACTGGGTATCGATCGATTTCAACAAGTTAGCCCTCGGCCCTCCGAATAAGTTAAACGTAGAAATGTAGCCGGTCCTGCCTATAAAGGAAGGCTGAGTCAGCTGCATTTCAGTCTCAAAGCACACAAATAAAAATCGATTCTACTCTGACCGTACAAGGTTCGATGGATAATGGTTCCGTGTGTATGGACTCGATAAAAATTCCAGCCAACGCCACTAACACCGTTTTAAAACGGTCCTCTCTAATTATTAACCCGTTTTCTACGCCGACATTTGATCCTGCCGGGCTTCCAAACTGTCGTCCTTGATAAGAACAAGCAGTCGCAGATGTTACAAGTCAATTATGAAATGACAGCTCCTCTTTGTGCCACTAAACATAAACCCATTTATCCCCCGAGTCAGAAAAATCAGTTTGTAAATTTCATTAACGCTACTTGACCATAAAAACTATCGGCGCCAACTCGAGTCGCAGATTTTTTAAATGTCTTTTAATCTGATTGTCTTGGCGCTAAGTGGCCAGTTTAAGTTCTTGATCGCTTAATTAATTCTAATATTGTTACTTAAAATTTATCTTAAGAGGGGGTGGAAAGAAAAATAATAATAATAATAAAAAAAAAGCCATTCACTTTTTCCTCTTTCATAATCACACAAATTGCCGCAATATCGAATTATGAGTTAAAATTAACAATAGAATTACCCTTTAAACTGTCGTTTTTGAGGAGGAAGGTCGCTTCTGACGACTCCAAGACGAGGAGGAAGGGGAAGGAAATAATTAAAAAAAATAGACACGTGGGAGGTCTCCGAAGTCGGTCGATCGGTTCGTATCTCGGTAGCAGAGATTAATGAAAGAACGTAGTTAGTCAAGTTGTGTTACACGTGCGCAAATAGGAGTGCGAAGAAAGAGGCACACCTCCCCACTCCTCGGAGTCGAGCTATTTATCATAGGTATAGGGGAAGCGCTGATTAGCCGGCCTTGGCGTGCGTTAATCTATCATTTCGGCTTTGATAACCCATCTCCTGTCTTGTCTGCAATTACTCTATTAAAATTGGTGTGAAAGTCGTTGATTTTGAGTCGCCGATTAATCACTCGACCACTGTCGAAATATGACAACTGCGGACGTCTGGGTTCCGGAATTCTCGTCTAGATCGAGAACGCCATTAAAAATCACTAAAACCTATCTAATTCGGATGTTGAGGAGTGCTTTTATTAAGCAACATTCCACCGGAACGACCGGAGGAATCTTAGGTGGAATCTCAATTATTGACGAGACGCCACAGACTCGACCCCGGTTCGATCAATCCTTACCCTTCTCGCATCACGTGACGGGCTTCTCCCTCCTCTTCCAATGAAAGTTTCATGCTGCGAATAAATGTGCTGGCATGCCACCCTCTCGTGTCACGGATGGCGGGACTCATGCAAACCCGCTTCAATCAATACTTGATCAAAGTTACGCCCCACCTAGAAATGGCAATAAGACGGACGGGATTCGAGAAAATCACCGTAACGGCAGCTGCAACACCATTCTAGATATTTAAAAGCTTTTTAAAAAAAATGGTTCTTGCTCGCTTCGAAAAAGCGAAAGACCAGGAAGAACGTGACAGATTCCTAATCTACCCTCGCCAGACCTTAAACAAGATGCCTTTATAACAAGAAAACAAAACGATAAGGCCGAACGAGACGGTGTTGCAATAAACTAGAAGAGCAGACGTCCCGACGACCTTCCATTTGTAGGGAGGACGCGGTATCTGTCGCAAGATGAGCCATTAGGGTGTCACAGAGTCGAGATAAGGCACACCCAAAAATGAGAAAGTCCTAGGAATCGAGTGGACGCCTACGCTGATACACAACAAAGAAAAATGCTTCTAGAAGGATGTGGGCGAACGAAACCTCTTTTTTTTTTTTAATTAAAAAAACCTTGCCCCGACGAAAGGATGCCGTTATAATATAACCGTAAAAAGTCAAAGAGCGAATTCGTATCTGTCTTGTACGGGAACGAGTGTACAACAGGTAAACCCAGGTGTTTTGCCGGATTGAGTAAGGTGATCCCCAGACTATTATGTAGAGTATCTTTATGGAAATGCAAAGCCAGGCGAGACAGATGGAGGGAAAAAATCGTCCCACTTCCTGCTACAAATTTTTTTATTTATTTTTTTTTTATTAAAAGAAGGGAAGTGGAAGGAACAGGTTTTGTGAAAGAGTGTCTTTGAAGTTCACTCACCTTTCTCACGGTCATCAACCAGTTCTAAGAACAATAATTTTCGACTTTACCAAAACATCCTTTACTATATATAGATGACGTGTAGGAAGTGTAAGATATTTTTCTTCTCTAAACGTTCTAGAGAAAAAGATACCCGCTACCACCTGTTTATTCGTTTCCCATTCCGCAAACAACCGTATACAGAAATAAAAAAACTGGTACTTAAAGTCCAAGGTTATCCTTATTATAGATACAACAAAACCATTGTTCCTAAAAATACTAAACGATAGGTAATTGTATTTAACAGGTTACCAATTAAAATGTTGTATGTATATATACAGTACTCCGTAAATTGAAATCTTAATTAACTAAATACCTTTAGGGATGAGTTTCTTTTAACTGTAAATAAGCTGCTTAAACGTTCTAGTTATCTTTCCATTACAGCTGTAACTTAGGCATGAATGGAGGGAATACTACTACATCAGCTATATATTTATTTCACTAAAGCTATTGTAGAAAAATAAATATTTGTAGATTTTGAATAGGTATATATACATGTATTGTATGCAATTGTAGTCCAGAAATGGAAGTTTAATCTCAAAATAAACATGAAAAATAATAAAAATTGCATATTGTAAAATAATAATAAACATTTTTATCAGAAGTTATAACAAATTATATCATGATTCATTAATATCTTCCTTTTTTTCTTATTTTTAAACTAGTTATTCAAACAAACTCCCATTGAGATCAATAGAAATTTTTGTGATGAGAATTTTTATGTATTTAGATAACAAAGTTTATTAAGAATAAAACTGCAACACTTATAGATGATGCTTACAGATTTTAATAACCTAATTATGTGCTTTTTTTACGTATCCTAGAAATGTTAAAACTTACTTTTCGAATTTTTAACATTTACAACCATTTAATTAATTAATATGCAATTTAATCTTCTCGAAATGTATGCGTCAAAGGTATTATTGTGAAACCAAATTAGCCTTTATACGAATTTCCCTGACTTTTTGACCTATATATTATTTTTAATAATACTTTTGTTAAGAAACAGACTAAAAATTTGTGTTTGAAATTTTCTGTATGACAAATTAGAGAAATTAAATTTCTTACTTTTATTATTAACAATTTGTTATCAAAGGAGGAAAATGTACATTTCCGGGATGTCTTGTCAAAGCACTCCATTCAATATATCCTGTTTGTTTCTTTTAATTGGGCGTAGACAACGTAACAACTCGGACATCATTTGTAGATATGTGTATTGAATTGGTATTATTGTCAAATTAAACTGTTTTATACATGTTATTACTCGGAAACATCTATCCTACAGTTGCTATTAACATGTATATTGTGTACTTATCGAAATAAAAATTCTGTTAGTCAAAAGCTGGCCAAGATAACCATCCAAAATGCAGCAGATAATTTTTTTTCCTTGTAAATATGACACTGGAAGTTTATCCAAGCTGTGAGCTCATATGTTTGGAGTCTGGCAATAGCATCACTGGTTCCAGAAAGAGAACTTGGAAATGCCATTTGACTTAATAAAATATAACATGGTAGAAGAAATTTGCTGAAATAGCACTTATGTAACTGCCAGTTTTTATCTCATTCTAAACTGAAAAACCGTCTATTGTGAAGTTGGATAACGCATAAATAAAACAAAAAAGATAGAAGAACAGTAGTATTTTTATTGTTTATGTGACAACCAGTTCTATTTAGTGTATATAAATATGATATACAGCTTGTTGTATGCTATACTTTGGTACTGTTTTCAAAATTTTACTTCTGATAGTTCTACAAGAAAATAATCTTTCTTTAGTTCTTACTAGGGAACAATCCAACTGACAATAGAGATCACTCATGCCGAGTTTGGCGATAATCATGCAGACTGAAAACGACCTATTGTTTCTTTATCCGGTGCCAGTAAAAATTTTATATTTACAGTGAAAATATTTACAAAATTTAAATAAATTTTATAAACATATTTCTTATCAATAGAGATCACTCATGCCGGGTTTGGCGATAATCATGCAGACTGAAAACGACCTATTGTTTCTTTATCCGGTGCCAGTGAAAATTTTATATTTACAGTGGGTGATCGGTTAACGAACATAATCCGTTCCAAGACTTTGTTCGTTATCCGAATTGTTCGTTAACCGATTATCGATTTACCATAGGTTTCTATGGGAATTTGATTAATTCGTTCTGGAGACCTCCAAAAAAATAAAAAATATAGACTATACTTTCTTATTACGTTTATTTATATGTAATAATAAAAATTAAAAACTGTATTAATCCTTTCGTTCTTATATAATAAAATATCAATTCACGTATTAAATTTTTGAGATGTGTTCATAATTTAAAATCATGCCCTTACTACTTCAGGAAGTATGTTTAATTTCCCTGCAATTGTTTTAAAACAAGATAAGATAGTAATGTAGACAGGCAATTAAATTATTCCAGCTTTTTCCCTGTAAAATTACTTATAAAAATTGTGTAAAATTTTATAATACAACTACGACTTTCCTATAATAAGAAGTTGCACATTTCATTTTATTTCTTAAATTAAATGATATAAGTTTATGCATTATTTGAATAAAATTGGATAAATATTTTTGTAGGAAAGAATAATATCAAAGTTTATATGACATCATTATACAAACACTATAAATTATAATGACTGATTATTTTATGTGCATGGAATAAAAATTGAAATTTTTAAATGGAAAACCAAAGGTCTATATTTAGGTGTAATTTTTCATTTTAATTTCAGTGTATTTTTAAAACAATTTCACACGTAACATTAACTAGAAAACAGTCCGATTATACAAGTAATATATATTCAAAACGTTGGTATATTTTATTGTATAAATACCAAAAAATAATTTATTCATTTTAACTGTAATATAAGCATATTATTCTATAATATTGAGTGAATGTAATCTGTGTAAAAATATAAACTTTTACATATATTTAAATCTTATCAAATTTTCTTGTTTACCTAAAAAAATATAATGATTTGCTTGCAAATTTAAGCAATTGATAATAAAACGCTCACTTCAGCAAGCTGTTATAACAGTATCTGATTATATACGTTAACCTTTATCTTTGTGTCAAAATGTAAAAAGATACATGAAATAATTTGTCGATACATGGTACATTCAAGATTTTATGTTTTAAAGAATATTTCATGTAAATTATTGTAAATCCTACCTGTCATATTCTTTATTATCCTGTTCACATCTTGCATCTTTCATTTCTTTCCACTTCTTTCCATGTTTACAAGTAGTGAGCAAGATAATGTCCTTTCCGTTATGGAGGTGGTAGAGGGAATTTCTGGTCTCCGAACCTATTCCGTAGAGATATCTTTTGCCTTTAAATACAAGCAAGTACTTCTTATTGGGAGGAAAGTTTCTAGTCGAAAGCAGACCGCCTTCCCCGCCTTTCTCGGGATGGGATTTGGGAAAAAGAGGTAAAGAAATGTCAAATCTTGGCCTAAAATTAGCAAGTGATAGACTGGCTTTAGCTAGAATAGCATCACCGAGATCAAAACCAAGGTCTTCATTATAATCTGGCCAGGTACCAGAGTACAAATTGAACACTAAATGATTTCTTCCATGGTTCCACAGTTTTTGATGATGCATAAGCTTGGCTTGTATATCTTTAACATAATCAGGACTAAGTGTGTCTCTATCCAGTGTATCCAGGGCCAAGACAAACAGACAAGCTTGACTAGGATCTTGGGTGGAATACCTGGATTCTTGAATCACATTCAGTATGCTTCTATATGTGGAAGAAATCCTCTCTTCTACAGGATAGACATACACTTTGAAGTCCTTACGGCACATGTCGAAATCAAAACATGTTTCCATCCTACATTGTGACGATTTATAAGTGATACTTCTTTCGTAACGTCTCTGACGCGGGGATAGAACCAAATCGTCGGGAGAATCGTCCTCTGATTCCGTGTAGGAACGATGTTCCAATAAACCAATGTTGTCGTCGTCGCCATCTTGTCTTAAACGAAACGAACCGAAATAACATAACACTAAAAATGCACAGCTGATGAGGACCAGTAAGTAACGCTTTTTAGCTTGCATTTGTTGACCAACTCAACACTGATGCTATCCGTTCACTTCATCTTCCACTATCTCCTCCGCAAGCGAACGACCGACACAACCGGCGCTGACGCCATCTTGCTCCGACCACGTGACCACGCATACTACTGACCTCTACCGGACAAGAGAATCAAAAATTTTCGCCTCCATTTTTCACTTTACACATCTCTCTTTCACTCTAATCGTTCTGCTTTATGAGTTTAATCGTAAACACACACACACACACAAAAAATAATTTTTAATTAACATTCAATAAAAATCATTGCAAGATTTATTAGTCTCTTTCTAAGGAAACATTTTTTTTTTCATCAATTAGATCACATCGAGATACTCTCGCTAATTTACTGAGAAATAACAACAGTAAATTCACTTCGCAATTATTAATTAGATATCTAATTTTAATCGTCATTAAAATTCAAAATTGTTTATCCCTTTAATAAATTAATTACGTTATTTTTCCTATTCCCGACGATCGCATTGCCATCTGACGAGAACAAATAAAAATAATACTAACCCTTTTTTTCCATAAAAATCTTTGGGAAATTTTGTGAAAAACGAATTTATTAAATTAATTCAAAATTTATTATATAAATTCACAAATAAAGATTTGGTATATATTCATCAGAATCGCTTCATCAAGGCAATCTACTCATACACAAAATTCCGATTACTTTTTTTGTACTCATTTCACTGTAAATTAATAATTTTGAACAGCACGTGAATATATGAAGCAGGGAAATTCCTGTTTATCTTTACCACAGATTTCTCCATCGCTTCCTGTAATTTAATATTTTAGGCGCTCTCCCGACTTGTATATCTTTTACAGTTTTATCAAGAAATAACCTTACGATTTTCACTGATGACCTTTCTGAGTAATCATACCAACAGAAACCAAGTCAATTCCTTCCTGTAAAAAGATTTTAATTGAAAAAAAAGCGTGCAATTTCGTGCGTAATACCCATTCGTATCAATGACGCAAGTCATAAGTATCGCAAGACACGCGTCAAACTAAGGAAATTTCACATCTTCCATTACATTCGTAATGTTTCCTGTATATAGATTAAGAATAGAAACACAATCGTTAATTATTTCGTGCTATAAATATACAAAAATCAATTTGAAGTTAATATAAAATAGAATTTCAAATTCAAAAATTAAGTCATAAAAAGTTTTTATCGTTGGCTACATCATTTAGATAATAAAAAAAACACGGTTTCTGGCGATTTCCAAATAAATTATCATAAATAAACTAGCAGGAAAAAAAAGTTTTGAAGATTAAAAATATTTACTAAACTTCCATTTAGTTTTTTTTTTAAAGTGTATAAATGTAACATCACATCAATAAAATCAAGGGATTATCTGAACGTTTTGGAAGTAATATTTAATAAAATTAAATCGATTTATAATTTTCTGATAGAGAAAAAAAATTTATAATTTTTCTTCTTTTTTTAATTGTAAAATTATCTCCTTACATCAATTGGTACCAAGCAGAAGTTTCTCCATTGTGTCACGCTATAGTTTGGTGTTCAGATATAAATTTTGATATTATATACAATTATACTATTTCGAAATATTTTCAAAATCAATTTTTTTTATTTTAAGAATTAATTAAAATTGGATATGAAATTGTATTTTTCAATTTGGATTTATTATTTTGGTTGTGTTTGGTTATTTATGCTAAAATATAACTTAATTCAGTTAGGAAATAAATAAATAAAAAAAGTACTGTGAATAACAATATTCTATTCACTTAAGTTATTCACCCGTAACCAGGTTTTTTCATTGTCTGCTAAATCATTTTACATTGTCTATCAGAGTGCTCTTTGTGCAACTACAGTAATAAACCTACAACTAAAAAAAATTCCATTGATCTTCGTCCATTTTGTTATAAAATTTTCAAAAAAAAATTCATATTTAAAGGGCATTCATTCAAAATTTATCCAATCCAAATTAAATTTTAATATTTCCAGAATATTAAATGTTAATTATTATTATTATTTTTTTTTACAATTTTTTATTAGTCTTAATGTATTAAAAACTAAAATCTTAGATTTCTCTCCAGTATATTTAATTATAAAATATTTATTGTTACCATAATTTTGAGAATTATTATAAAAACCTTGAGAATTTGAACAAACAGGAAAGTTGGCTTGTCCTGAGGGCTTTAACACATTAAAGTATATATTTTTTGCACTTTTACCAGGTTAAAATTTCCTGTTTGGTTACTAGGAAGATTGCCATTGTGATAAGATTTCAACATATATTTTCCTCTTCGGTTAATATTGTGTACATGGAATAATATAAATAATATTGAATTTTGAAATTAGGTTGTCTGTTCATTATTTATTATTATGCTTATCATTCACTTGTTGTGTGTTGTTTCTTAATCTGTAGAGGAAGTTTACCCCTTTCTCTAACTTTCCTTATTGCATATCACACAATTAGTCATGTGAAATTTAATCTAATGGCTATTTAGATTGCCATTAGATTAAATTATAGGTAAATGTGTTAATCTTTCGTTATTATTTTCTGTGTAATTTTGTCCATAATTAATTCTGGTTTTAAACTTTGTATCTTGAAGATCACCAATTTTATATTGATGTATTTTTAGAGTTTATTATTATTTCTCTAATTTCATATTCTGAAGTACATTAAGTTCATACTATATTGAGTTAATTTAAAAAGTATGTATGTATATTAAATTTAAGCATGTTTTACAAATCAACTTTTGATTATTTAAAATGGGAAGAACAGATTATCAATAACAACATTTACAAAATTTTATTTTCAATTAAATTTATTTCTCCTTTATAATCAATTATCTATTCTAAATAAAACATTAAATTATCTGTGTAGTGATTGTGAAACAAAACAGCTTACAAAAATGAACACTCAATTGTAATTATTTCTAAAAAAATTTTGGCTCTATTTAAAATTCAAATGTATACAGGACAAAGATTAACAAGTAATAAATGATGTAAAATTGTTAAATAACAAAGATCATTTTAAGGCTATTATAATTAAACTGGGTAATATAAGTCTAGGGATGTTGGAATTAATTATTGGTAGGGTGTATGCTTTGTTTCTTTTTTTTTTTTATTGCCACCGTCTGTTTACGTGTGTCTGTCAAATCACTCTATTGTCGTACTTCTTGCATAGTACTCGTTGGACAATTACGATACAAAAATACTCTCTGAATATTTAAATGTCACTTTTTTTTCTCTTTCAAATATTTATTTTGTATAACAAAAAAGTCATAAACTCTCATTTTCTTAATCTAAAAAGTCTAGGGGAAGGGAAAAATGATAGACTGTTGACATATAAAATTATCGTCATCTCTCGTGACTTAACTAAATGCAATTCTAACAAGCGATTCTCCATTCAAGTTCTATAAAACTCATCTTGGCAAATTTCAATATTTTGTGGCAATTAATTAAATATATAACATAATTACATACAACTATAAAATATACATGATCTGAAGAAAAATTAACTTTCTCACATTTCATAATTCATATAAACATTAAATATAAAATTATCATTCCATATTTTTCAGTAAAACAGTAAAACTGGTAAATAAAAACAACTCATTTGTGAATAATTATGGCAGTAAATCTTAAATTTTTGGGTGTATAAATTAAATTGATTTGAATTTTAAAAGAAATTGTGCAGTATAAACCATTTAGAATTGCATATAGGTAAAAAATAAAATTTAGATTTTTGATTCTTCTACTATAAACTGCTCAAATAATTCTTTAATTATTGAGATAACTCTGGAATATTTTTGATTAAAAAATTTATCTATTTTCAAATGTAACTAGTCGAAAGATTGAGAAAAATTCTTAGCTTATAGACTGCAATTCTGTTGTATAGAGTCCGATAAAATTAACTTTCAAAGAAAGATGGTCTTTATACGAAATAGTTGTGACAACTATAGAACTTCTTATTCGTATATTCTATTTGTAAGTGATAAAGACTTAAAAGATAAAATATTTTTTAAAATTAATATTTGAAATTCTAACAGATTTCTACTGCACTTCTTTCATTTGAAGAAAAAAAAAATATTTTTCTAATATAGTGTATATAGATTTATTTGATATATTATAAGAATTATCTAGTGCCTGATATTTGAGAGAATATTTTGCTTTTTAACTACAGGCACTTATTGCAGTTAGACCAATTGAACAATTAATTGAAACTAAATGTTGGATCAACATTAAATAAACTTATGTAATTTTTTAGAACATTATTTTCTAAGTACAATTAACTAAAAAAATTTTTTTTTACTTTTTTCTAAAATGTCAACTTAATTGGGTACGAATTTATCACACTAATTATTGATAACCAATTTTACTTGATATATGGGACGATTTTTCTGAAATATAACTTTTTACAGGGATGTAATATATGATTTTTCTGTTCATGGAACAGAATTTTTTTGGAGAGAAAAATATTCTTAGTCAAACTTGCAGTAAAAGTTAAGCTATACAGTATTAAATACAAATACTATATTCTATAATTATTCCCCAAACTTGTAAATAATTTCAGGAAAGAAATTTTAGTCCCTATATTAATTCTTTGTGATTGTCCATTATATCACAAACCATATATGATTTTCTCCTCCGACACACATGGGCAGGACAACCATGTTTGGTCACTACTTGCCTAGGAACCCATTTGATGTTAAGCTAGATATAAGACTAGAAATCAGAAGTTTTGTTGTCTCTTCTTCTTTGCATCCATGGCATCAAGAATTGGTTGGCGTTTCGCTTGATAGCGATGTCTTAGTTCTTCAATCTCTTTCTCCATTTCGGAATCCAAATTTGCCATCCTCTCCTGGAGTTCATCGTAACTAAGGAACATTAGCTGTAGTAATAATAATTGATTAGAAAAATTAGTTTAATAATTATTTTGAATACACAAATCACAATATTTGAAAACTTTTAAAACTTACAAAACTAAAGTCTCCATCCACAAAAGATCGCTGAAACTTTGTGTAATCATGATGAGCTGCTCCTGGACCTGCATTGCTTATTTGATTCAAATGATGTTGTAGATGATTGGCACTTTTTCTTTCATGACCTTGTGGTTTCTGGCCGGATTTGAGATTCTGTTGGAAGTGATTAGGATGAGGTGTGCCACTTTGACTTAATGAAGAAGTAGAGCTATTTACATCAGTCTGTGTGGGACTACGATTGTGATGTTTCTGTTGCTCCTTCTCTTTTTGATCAAAATGATCGAGGAAATAAGGACGATAATTTTCTTTCTTTTCTCCCGTTGCTGTATCGTGTCCTGAAATGCAATAAGCAAAATCTCAAATATATATGATTTTTAATTTCAATCAAATGTAACTTAGATTAAGTTTGGCACTTTTCAGAATTTATATGGCTGGTTCTATTTTTCAAGATAGTCATGGATATTATATATGGAATAAAAATTAATCAAGTTTTAAAAGGCAATATCATATCAATCATCGCTGAGTGGAAACTTTACTCAAAGATAAACATGTGCAAGAGTTAGATACATACATCATGCAAGTAGATTATGAAAAATTTAATATTTTTTTACAGTTAATGATATTATTTTGAATATGTATGAAGCTCAGCATCTTGTAATTTACAAAACTAATGACAAACAATTGGTGGATTACATTGGGCGGCTATAATAATGATACTAATTACTACTTAAAAGTCAAGTAACTTGGCCTAGAGATAGACATTAGTTGCCATTTCTTGATAAATTTAATAATTATAGAAGGTTTTAGAAAAAAGAATTGGCTCAAAGTGGGACTCAAATCTACAATCTCGATTGCTATGCAGATGTGTTCCCAGTTATGCTAGCCAGATGCTTACCTCTAGGCCATAGTACTGACATATAAGTAATTAGTAACATTATTATAGCTTGATGTAATCTGGCAATGTAATTTGGAATGAATCTAAAAATTAGGTTAATGGAAGCTTACATTTATTCACAAAACTAAACTGCTGAGTTCGGTAAATTAAAATTATTATTTTTTCAACAGTAACCTTGTGTGTGTTTTTTTTTTTTCAGAATTAGCACATTTTTTTTTTTATTTGCTGGAATTTTTGGTCATTCTCAGCTTCAGTTTGTTTGCAATTGTTGCTAGATAAGGACAGCTATAGAAAAACTAAAAAATATTATTAAATAAAAAAGGGTTTGATGTTTTGAACTTAGCTTCATTTATATTATAAATTAAAAAAATAAATGCTTCCTTAAAACTATTCATTTATTCGTTTATTAGATCGTTTCAGGCAATTTACTTGAAAGAAATAAAAAATATATTTATTTAGAGTGATACTTATTCATTATTCTGTAACTAACTGAATTGAGATTAATGATTCACTTTTATAACCAAAAGGGGATTGTTTTGGATGAATAAACCAAAATTTTTATGTCCTTCAAACCTGATGTTCATCTGAGTTCAAGAATTACTCAGAAAACGATTTTATTCCCAGATATTTTGTTTAAATGCATTTTGGATCAGAGTCAGGATTGACAAGAACTTCAACCCAAAATGTATTTAAATAAAATTGTCTTCTGAGTAATTCTTGAATTCAAGTGAATGTTGGATTTGAAGGACATAACATTTCAGTTTATACATCCAAAAACTTCCTTTTAAGTGATTATAAAAGTGAATGATAATATCCAGCAAATATTACTAGTTTTAGTTATGTACTAGAGATTAATGATTTCATCAAATCTGATGTACAATAAAATATTAAACAATGTTCAGTAAACATTAGCCTCTCAAAACTGTTTGGACACAATAATATTGAATAAAATTAAAAGGTTAATAAATAAATTAGTAAAAGAGTACAATTAAATTTGAATAATAGTAATGCTGTTTTAAAGAAGACATACTACCAAATAATTAGTCTCGTCTAATGCTGCATTCTCCTTTTTCGATGTCTTTCTTCTATTTTTATACCAGAACAAAGGTATTATAACTTTTAAATGGTTTTCTAAATGGTACTAAATGTACTATGTAAAATTCAAATCAAGATTCTACGAGAGCCAGATCAATTTGGAACTCCATTCTCCTTAAAGCAAGTATTTACAATGTTGGCTGGAGTAGAACACTAACATATCAATAATTTAAATTAAACTGTTAGAATGTATACAGTACCTTAATTATCCAAAATATTCATATATTGAAATTTGCTTAATTTAATCACAGTTATTACTATATCATTTAATGAATGATCTCATGCAATTCTCAAAACATATAGTAAAGCTTTTTTTATCCATCAACTATCTGTTCATTTCTGTTAACCATCATATCACTGGAGTGTGTGTGTCACTTGTGTAAGAAAGTGTACAATAGTAACAGCAGCATGCGCTAATTCATTGTTTCATAATAATCTTTAATTGGTTTTAAACAATGAACAACTAGTGCAAAGTGTAATAAATGTGGATGAATGCTAAAGTAAGAAAGATGAAGATGAGTCAGTACTAATAATGTTGAAATTATGCTATCAAAGTGCATCCAAATAATTTGAGATGCAGAAGAAGCAGAGACAAAGCAAGAGCTACTTTTGCATAAAATTCACATTGCTTCTGAGAAGATTAGGAATATACTGAAACAAAAATAGATTATAGACTATTTTAAAAGTTACATTTTATACATATTTAAATTTGTGTTTAATAATATTTGTTTTGTTTTACATTGTGTATCTATGTTGGAAATACATTTGACTTTAAAGTTGTATAAATAATTTTTAAAAATTCCTATTAATCATCTTTTCATTTACCTGTCACTCTCCTAGACCCAATATTGTTGAATAATTAAAGTTTTACTGTAAATTAAAATGCATTTATAACACTTCACTTATTGTAATCAGAGTTTTGTCTATAGGTATCATAATCTTCAGGTAAACTGGTACTTTTAAATTAGTTTTCACATTATCAGCCACAACATGTGGCCAATAATAAACAATTGTTATTAGTTTTAACCACTGCTTATCATTTTAATTGTTATTTGCTCACAGTACAGTCTAAATTGCTGGTATTTCACACTTCTGTTATACACTAGTTATTGTTAAAACATATTATGTATAATTACAAAAATTACAATAAGCAAACAACACTGAATGAATTATTATTAATAACAACAATAATAATAAATCAAGTTACATAATTTTTTACTGTTTTAATAACTTTTAATGTCAAAGCCAATAACTCCAGAATTTCCACTTCCACTAATTAGTCTTATTTATAATATTAAATTAAGTGAGTCCTAAAATTATTACAATAAGTAGATTTATGATGCAGCATTGAGAATGCTTGGTATTACAACTTTCAATTCATTGGTCCACAGAACATTTTTCTATTATTTCAGTCTCTAAATTATGGACACCGCATTACTGCAAACAATATTTAACATTTCTTGTGACAAAGATTGAGTTAAAGCTCTATTACAAAAGTCAAGATTATGCAACTCTTTTCAAATCATTTTCTTTAAACTTTGTAAGTGTTTTCATTTTCAAATTTTTTTTATATCATTTACTGTTTACTTTGAGACAGTCCAATTTATTGAAACAAGTTATGATAATAACGCAATTTGATAAGTCTCTAGAATCTCATCTACTTCAGATAGCATACTTTCTTCATTGCCTATGAATATTCTTTTTGTTTCATGAAAGCTTACATACACTTCAGAAAAAGTGAATGATACAAGTCCTGAAAAGTTAATGTATAATAGTAATCTATTGCTATACACAAATGTAAATTTTGTAACAGTTCTAGGTAATTAAAATCAGTTTTCTGGGTGCAAAACAAACATATTAAAGCAACATTCAAGATAAAACTTGTATATTGATTTAATAATATGTTTGTTTTGCACCCAGAAAACTGATTTTAATCACCAAGATCTTTAAGTTGTGGTGTATGCAGTTCACTAACCTATCTTAGTAAACATAAAAATGTTATTATTATTCTGTTCTAATGTAAAATGCCTGAAAATGATGCTTGCAATGTTATCTAAAGTGTTTGTGAAGTATATCTGAATTATTTTAACAAGTTTATATTATTTTCTTGGCGGGGAAAAAAGCTATAACACCAAAAGACATTTTTTTATGTACATTTAGCAAGCTTGAATTGTTTAAGAATTGTACTGATACTAAATTTTATATTTATACTTTATTTATTATACTTTTCATTGTTGAATCTTCTTCTTCTCCATCACTATTAATTACAAGGGTACCAAGATCAGATTCAACATCACTGCTTACGACTGATGTTCCTCCATTATTATGAGCAACTAAAGTTCCACCTTCTTCAATATCATTATTTGGCACCAATGTTCCCGAATCAGGCACAAATGCTACCATTGTCCCACAGTCAATATCATCTTCATCCTAAACGATTTTATAGTTAGAACTACTTCTTCAAAATTTATTTTAAGGTATAAAAAGAAGAGTAACTCACAGATTCGAGCATATTCACTCTGTCTCTGCGATACGTCTCATTCTCTTGAATTTCCTTTGCTTCAGCAATCATTTGTTGTAAAATATTTACAGGTTTGGCATTTTTAATAAATTCATGCTAAAATTAATTTAAAAATAAATATCAATATAATTATATTATTAGAATAAAGAATAAAATTAGAAAGTTTATATTTTAAATTTCAATACATTAAAACACTTATAATTATTTTTGTAACATTATTATTTGTATTATATTATGAAATCATGATTTAACATTTTACCTGTAGTAATTCTGATGCAGTTGCTCTCTCTTCTGGATTTTTGACAAGGCAGTGTGATACAAAATCAATAAATTCTGATGACCAGCGATCTAAATCCCTAAAAGATGGTGGCGGTTTTGTTGGGATCATGAAAATAGCCTGTAAAAATAAATTATTATAAACATTTTAAGTAAAAACTATTTTTAAATTTATTTAATATTACAACAAAAAACAATCCAAAATTTTAACATAAAAATACTATATGTTCTATCAGTCACTAACTTGTAAATCAATGAAAAGGGATAAAAAAAAAACTAAAAATTAAATGCTTTAATTAAATTCCAGGTAACATTTTCAGCCCTTTTTAAAGACCATCATCAGGCCATTACATTAGAAATGAATTTTCAAATGTATTGGAACAATGAACAACACAAACTGAAATGTTTCAAATTATACTTAACACTGCAATTAGTTGAAATTAAATAAGCTGCTTCAATTAAACAGCAAGCAAGAAGCTTGCTACTTAATTGAGTAATTGATTTCTAATGTCAAGCTAGAAGCTTAGACATAACCCAATCATTGTAATGCAATTATATGAGACATACCAACATTGCACCAAAACTTCCAATGATGTCTGCCATGTTGACAAAGATGATAAGAAGTACAAGATCATAACCTATAACACTTATATATATGATATGTATTATTTGTACATTATTTGTACAAGCGTTATAGGTTGTTTAAGTGTTTGTATAAGTGTTGTTTATGCAAACTGCATTCAAACATACCGATTCTTTCAACTTTTATGAATTTTTTAACTATTTACAAATTTATGGGACACCCTGTATATAGAATAACATAATGTAGAAGACTGAAGAGGAACTGAATGAGTACAAAAATATATTCTAAGTTATATACAATATATTATTTTATTAATTAATACAGTAACATTTTTCTACTTGACTGCCAAGTGGGAGAGATTAAATTCCCAAAATCCCCATGTGCAGTGCCTTGATTGACCTTATAAATTCAACAGAAATTTAATTTTAAAATATAGTAATTAAGAAACTTGCTACAAATTTTTGCTTTTATTTCAGAAGCAAAATTACATAAATTGACATATTAATTATATCTTACAAAATTACACTCACACAAAGAATACTCATGTAAATATATTTTTGTGTATATTTAGTTTTAGCACTGACAAAAACAGGAATTCTCTAAATCAGTTAAATATCAAATGCAAAACTGGTTTCAAAATCCGTTTGAATTCAGTAGAATTAAGATTTCATTCATATATTTTATTAATATTAATAAAAAATACTATTATAAATATTAGCCAAGATTCAAGCCTGTATCACATTTTTATCAATACAGTAATAGTTTAAGCTGAAACTTATTCAATATAAAAAGACACTAAACACAACCATATACACTTTTCAAGCAACTAAATTTAATCAAAACAAATGTTTTTTTTGGCATGATTGGTAAGTTTTTGTCAGGTTACAGAAAGAAATTTAAATAGAGATTCAATCAATCAGGCCAAAAACATTTGTTTCGTTTAAATTTAGTCGTGGGAAAATAGTTTAAAGTGTGTCTCTTGTATCATATTTTTTTTTTATAAAAAAAAAAAAAGCCAATGTTTCTTACATGTTTGTAAAAGATGGAGTCTAAATATTTAACAAATAACATTTGTAAATTTTATTGTTTTAAAATTAATTCTTTCTGGTTTCATGTTAATTTAAGTTCCAAATTTAAACACAAGTGATGCATGGCATTATTTTAAAAAAGTCAATGATGGTAAATTGATGCAGTGTACATGTTATATTATTACACTGAGTTTCCTTTAGTACATCAGTTATTAAAAAAATGTTAACATGATATTTCATAGCAATTCTACAGAATAGAATAAAATTAATACTAAATATTATTTTCTTATTGTTTATGATGTTTAAAATGCTCCTGGGAAACTAAATAATCATTTTTATTTTCTAATTTGTTTAAGTGAGTTTGTATTGCTTTATTTTCTAGGACTAGTTTGGTTGTTTCAAAATTCAACAGAGAATCCCACTATAGATAATAATTGCTTTCAAATTGTGTTCCATAAAACTGCAGGAAAAACCAAAATGCAAAAGGTAGAATGACAAACAAATGAATAAGTTGTTAAAAGAATCATAATGTCAATTTATGTTTGACATATGAATGAAATGACAAAAAATGAGCTGCCTACATGTTCTAAAATGCCTCTTGTAATCAATAATGAATTCTACCAAAGACCTTATAATAGCTGAAAGTTGGTTGACTTATGTCATAGGCATGATAAAATTATTCAATTTCATTACTGTCTCTTATTTATTTTTCATATATGTCAACTGAACATAGATTAAATAAAGACTAAACTATAACTTCATTAAAAATTAAAATTAATATTTTTTTAATCAGTTATTTTTAAGTCTAATTTATAAAATAATCTTGATGTATCTTTTATGTTTTGAATCTTAACATAAAAAGGAATTAACTGTTGTATGTTTAATAATTGTAGTCATAAACTGGAAATCACCCATGAGGATTAATGCTCTATAAATTATCTCAGTTTTTGTTATTGTTTTTCTTTTGACAGATCAATTCTAGAATGCGAAACTCTTCTGTTGTTTTTTTATCATCATAAGCAGCTAGTAATGGTAATTTATGACTATATTCAAAACAGTACACTTATTTTTATTTGTGAAGAACTCTTCATAGAATCAACATTATAGTGGCATTTGTGACATCAACTCATCTTTTGAAATTCTCACATGAACAGCTGGAACAATGTCTTAAAAATGGTAAATTGGAATAAAACATCTGTCATGTTGGTTAAAAAAAATCATCAAAATAATGTTAAAATGATACTGGTAGTAGAAACAAACAAAAATCTGTTTTATTGAAAATTTTCTGAGTCAATTTTGACTTAGTGTTGAAAATAGAAAGTAAAGTTCAGTAAAAATTTGCCAATTTACATATCAAATGTGAATAAGTATGATCTTCTCTACAATGATTGAGTACAATGTCAATTGAATGAAAGAAATCTGATAGAGTATCCTACAAGAACAGAGTTGCCTGTGATTCACTACTGAAACATAACCAGATAAATCCCTGAAGAGGCGACTAATTACTGGAAATGAAAATTAAATTATTTATGATTACCTGCAGTAGAAAAGATGGTAGAGAAAGTCAACTGACTCCCCTGCAATGCTATAAAAAGTTGGTTCACATATGAAAAATTTATGCTGAGCAAATGTTGACACTATTAGGATATTATCTACTATAAACTTCTACCTCAAATCAGATCATTAATATAGAATCCCTTCCCAACCTGATAATCTGAAGGAAGTCACTGAAGAAAAACAGTGTATTGTCAAAAAAGCACATCTGTGACTTACATAATGATAACATGCTAACTGCATGTTATCATTATGTAAGTCACAAATGTGCTTTTTTGACAATACATGTGCACAGTATTAAAAACATACAGATTCAAGTTCTGCTCAACTGAGAATCTAATGACAGTATTCATTAAATAAATAATCAGATTCTTATGTATTAATTTTATTCATGTAATTTTCAACTTTTTTAACTGGTATTTTATAATTATATTCATTACTTTGAATATCAATATATGAAACTTAACTTCTCAATATTTATATACCAATTAACATTAATATATTATTCTTTTAAGTACTCTTTTCAAATATGTTAAAAACTAAAATTATCAAATTTTATGCAGAAATAATATGTCAATCAGAGATATTATTCTTCAAAAAATTAATTATTTTTGTACAGTTAAGAGCTCAAATAATTTATTAATACCCATAACTGTGAATTTTTAAAAATTAATGTAAATAAATATGATATAATATAACAATGAAAATTAACTTAAACAATAACTGGACAGAATCAAACTGTGAAACTATTAATGTTTGGCAAGTATTTTTCAAACAAACCTTTTTGACTGACTAAATTAGCCACCTTTAAGTTAAAAAAATTTATTTATCAATGCAACATTTCAAATTTAAAATTGCCCAAAAACATACCTGACACATCATTTATAAGCAGACCTACATTTAGTCTACTATTGTGATAAAAAATTATGAATATAGTTCATTTAAACTGTCTGCATACAAGAGGACACTGTCATTGTTTGGTATGACTTTCATCGACAACTAAAAGCAATCCGTATGTCATAATCTGTTTTTGTTTGCTAATAAATGCTTATTTTGTGTGTAAAGAATTTTTGTGCTGATGATTTTTCAAAACATCACGTGTAATTGAGCAAAGAACATGCAATAAATTTTGTTTTTGCAACAAAATTACTGTTACAAAAATGTTGCAAAAAGCTTTTGGTCTATTAAAAACAAGAATTTTCTAATTGTACAAGATGTTCAAGGAAGGCAGAGAATGCACTGAACATAAACATAAACCATGCTCTAGTAGACCATCACTTCAAATGATGAACAATACATCACTCAAGTCAGAGATTTGGTGCTTAATGATCATTGTTTAACAATTAGGGGCATTATTGAACATGTTTCAGTATCATTTGGATCTTGTCAAGAAATTTTGAAACATCATTTTGACTTGTGATGCATTACTTCTTGAATTACCCAAAAACGTTGAATTTTTTCTAAAAACAACATGTTTGATTGGCTGAGAAAATGCTTTGAGGCAAATCATTTTTAAAATGCATTATTACAGTGATGAAACACAGATCTATATAGCTTTTGACACTGAAACAGCTCAATAATAAAATGGATGGCACTCAAAAGATAAAGCAAGACCAAAAAGAACCATACAAAAGTCAATCAAAAATCAAATTATGGTATGCATTACGAATTTCTTCTGGCTGGTCAAACAGTCAACAAAGATTATTATTTGAGCATTTTGCATCATTTGCATGAAGCAATTCACGAAAGCAACCTAATTTATGGCAAGAAAACTCATGAATTTTGCATGACAATAATGCACCTGTTCACAATACTCTTGTTGTTTGTGAATTTTTAGCCTGCAAAATGTTCAAATAATAATCTTTACAGTGATGCAAGTTCTATATATACAGTTCTGCAAGCTCTATATATTCACATGATATAGCATTGTGTGACTTCCTGTTTCCTGAAATAAAA